AAGGCAGGGGTGATTCCCTACATTGGGTCTCAGTCTCTGCCCCCCCCCCCCCCACAGCAACAATGAGCAAGGGATTGTGGGGGAGATGGAGACAGGCCCAATGCTCTGGATCTCCCCTTCCTTGGGCCTGAGCCCTTGACTCAACTAATTTTGAATGATGTATTTTTCTTCCCAAGCTCTATGCCTGTCCAATTCCTAATTCATTTATTTATTGAACATTTTCTGCCGCAGTAACATCTAAGGTAATTAGCGACGTATTCAAAATACAGCGATAGGGTGGGTCTTGGGGGCAAAGTCCCTAAGTATAGCATTATGATAAGCACTGTGGCAAGAAGAGTAAAAATGAGTTACCAACTAAGGTAAGTGGTCAAAAGAAGGGGATGAAGAAGAGGAGAAAAAGGAAAGGGGAAGAAGAAAAGACCATGAAAAATTTGCTGAGGTGAGGGCTGATGTGGTCCCCTGCATTAGCCCCAGCCTTTGTTTCCAAAGCACGACAACGAGCAAGGGATTAGGGGTCTAATTCCTAAGGTGTGAGAGCCGTGTTGAAAGGATGAGAGGTTGACTGCGCTAGTCATGAACGACTTCAGGGAGCCATGGGCATGGTATTCCCTTGGTCAACTGTCTAACCCTTACTCTTCATTGGGGACCTTGAGGGGTGGACTCTCAATCTTCCCAACATATTTCAGGCTTACCATGGCCAGTAATGAAGATTTTGTAACCTTAGGGGCATTGAGGCTCTACCGACACCTGACTCTCCTTTGATCACGGCTCCGACCATTGCTACTACACCCCACTCCTTGACACTTCCAATATCCTTAAACCCACCTATATCTCTTCTTTTGAACTGTTTCCATCCCCCCGGCTGATTGCCCTGTCTATGACAAAGACTGGTTAGACTCTGAAAGCAACCTACTTCCCTGCCTTGCTGACTACGATGTGGTATCAGTACAGTGCTGTAATATTCCACTCAGAGGCCGCCATAAGCCCCATATCAATATTGCCAAGATTACCTTTTGTAGACATGACTTTCCTCATAAGGTCTATATAGGAGGAGAATCTTGCCCTATCTGATCATTATCAGGCAATTAAACGCATCTTTCTTTTACCGAAGGGTCACAATTGTTTCAGTTTACTTTTCTACTTCCATTGGCTTTAATGCCTTTTTCAACTTTAATCACCATTCCTCATCATCAGTGATTCCAACTGTCGCCATACTCTTTGGGCGACTCTACCACTACTTCCTGAAGCCGATCCTTGGAACACTTTCTAATATAGACAACAAATGATAAGACAGCCCACTCACTTTTGACATGCCTTGACCTTCCTATTTGTTCTCTTTCCCTTCATCTAGATTTCTATTGGTCAATTCTGTACCACCTTCCCAATAGTGATCACATTTCTATTCTTTCTACTTCCTGTTCCACTCCCCAAGCCCCCATGCTGGTGCTATGGTAGAGCAGACTGGCGTACTTTTACCTCTTTCTACTCTACCTCTTTCTCCATCTCCCCTCTCTTCTACATCAGGCATACTTTCATATTTCACAGTCAGTCATGAGTGCTTCACAGCCATTCCATGAACTTCCTGACCATAAACTCTAAACACTGAATGTCCCCAAGACCTTCGATTGAAGTGTGCACCATGGAGTAGTTATTGCTATAAGTGAAATACTCCCTGTCAAAAATCAGTCCTTATCTATTTTAAAAGAACTTAAAACTCGACTACGCCGCACAGTCCGATTCAATCAAAACCAGCTAGCAAAATTACGATTCCACAATTACATTTTCTAGACCTATTTCTACAGTATGGCATAGAATCCATAAACTATCAGGGAAACAACCTGTTCATCCTTCCCCTGTTCTCCACATCCGTAACACTCATTTCTGAACCTTTATAAATTACTACTGAACTTGCTGCATATTTCAGCCAGGTCAGCAGTGGCTCTCATCTTTCTCCCAACTTCTTTTCCATTAAAATAGCCAAGGAACTCTCTCCCATCTCCTCATCTTCTACAGAGCAATACATAGCCCCGTTCTCTTCTATTGAACTCCTTTCTCTTTATAGTCATTCTGAAACACACATGATGGCCCTAATGGCATACATTTTATTTATTTGAACATTTTCTGCTGCGTCAACATCTAAGGTTATTAGCAATGTATTCAAAATATAGCGATAGGTTGGCCCCCAAGCACCACCCTATCATATAGTTTAAAAGAGGGGTAATCCTCTACATTGGGCCTCAATCCCCTTCTTCTAAGCCCCCACGACGACAACGAAGGGATTGGGGGAGGCTTATATTATAGCTGATAAGCTCACCCTCTCTGCTATTTCACTGCCACACTACCCTCGAATACTGCTTAGCTTCCAACTTCTTCCATAGCTCACTCGTATTTTTTTTTATTGAAAAAAATCCGACGCATCAACATCTAAGGTCAAACCTAATGGTTAATGGTTAATGTTTAAAAGCAAGATAAATGTGCTAGACATCTAAGGTCATGTAGCACTATAGTTAATGTTAGTGAAAGGTGGTTGAGTTAGTGATTAGTTGTCTAAGCTGGGCAAAGGAATTGGTGAGTTAAAGGGTTAAGGTCGGGTGTTAGATTAGATAAAGGATATGTATGCGTTTGAGGAAAGAGAACAGGTTGTTGATGCAGAAAGTGTGGGATTCTGTAAGGATGTCTGATAGGTTGGGAGGTCGGTGAAGGGAGGATAGGTGGGGGAAAGCAGAGGTACGGGCTGCTTCAAAACGTGGGCACGACAATAGGATGTGTACGATTGAAAGGGGAACATTACATAAGGAACATAGGGGTGGATCAGATTGTGACATCAGATAGAAGTGTGTTAGACGGGTGTGGCCAATGCGTAAGCGGTCGAGAGCAGTCTCCCAACGTCTGTTCAGGTCAAACCTAATGGCGAAACTCCCAGGCAGATTTTTTTTTCCATAAGGTGATGTTTGTGGATTTCCAAATTGGTTAATGGTTAAAAACAAACAAACGTGTCAGATATCAAAGGTTATTACTATTGTGGCGGAAAGGGTAAACAAAAAACACAAGTTAATGATTAGGTTAAGTGCACAGAGAGGGATAAAGAAGAGAAGGAAAGGGAAAGAAGAATAATAATTAGTCGAGACGAAGGCTAAGGTCCAAGGAAGGGTGGTCCCCTACTGGGTTCCGCCAGTCCCCACAATAATCAAAACTAGCGCATTAGTTTTTATTATTAATCATTATCATTGTCATATAAGCACAAGCAGCACAATGTACATAAATCGGCCAGCACTTAAAATTTGAGCTGCCGTGGTTCATGATTTCACAAAATTGTATCAGTTTTCATCCTCGCAATAAGGAGGGAGGCCTTACTCCGGCTATGACCTTTACGCATCGACCGACAACAGTGACAACACGCATTTTTTTATTGGCTTTATATGAGAATGTCTATTTAACTTCATTCACTTTCCAAAATGTCTCTTAAGTGTTATAATATCCATTGTTATCTAAGCCATATTACACGTTCAAACTTTATACACACACACGTCACTGACAATATACAAAAAACGAAGAATTAGGAAAAATTATCAGATTTCCAATGACTATCAACAATTAAAATAATCTGTGTTCATGGTTTATCTCTTTGATCCCTGGATACAGAATGATCTAGAAATATATTTCACACATTCCCGTTGTAAAATATAACCACAGCTAAGTTTCCCTGGTGAAAAAATAAGCAAATTGGAAACGAGATGGGCCTCTAGTAACGAAATCCAGGCTTGCTGTCAGGCTAAAAGGGTGGAGTTTAAAAGATGACATCAAAGCACAATGCGTTGCCGATAGTCTGAACGGCCCTCCCAAGCATTGGGAAAAATCCACAGCATCGGTACTTTTCTTGATGTACCAAAGATGCCCTAATACATGAACGTTAAACATTTATTATCTAAAAGTGTATTTTTCGCCAAACGTATATACTGTATGGACTATTTTATAAACTGAAAAATCCATTACTTGCACCAGTTAAATGAAATCAAAATGTAAACTAATAATTACAATATAATTGCAAATTGTAAAGCCAATACGCATTCCATTGTTCATGCTTGGAAGTATTTGAACACCTTTCTCTAGGTTTCTTTTAAACGTAATTATCTCCATACAGAAACTGATTGATACTGTACTAACCAGGCACTGTTATACCAGAAACTGAACTTTAAAACATTTTCAAGATGAAAGACCTAATGCTTTAAATTTGCTTCATGAACTTGAAATATACTGAATGAAACGCAACATTGCATATATAAAAGTTTTAATAACAAAACATGAACTCTTAAAACATGATAAAAACAATATTTCCAACAAATAATGCTATCAATACTTTCTGTACCAACTTGCTGTTATTTTATACAATTTAAATATTTTTCCCCTCACGTGCACACACACACACCACCTGACGTAACCTGCTTAACAGTTGTTATTCACTTGTATTTCTTAATTAAAATTTTCATGTTATTCCATACATCGATATATATAAATATTACAAAGGGATTTTCCTATGGTCATGGTAACTAGCTGAACTGATACATAAAATTCAATAATAGTAAAATATTCACAAAATTACACAAAATAAATATATCCATGTTACATCCTGCGAGCAGTACTCATCCCACATACAAACACACAATCGCACACGCAATCGCGCACCCAGCTGAAGGACAATCCACTACAATAATACGCGAATTAACTAAGAAAGTGAAGAATAAATTCGACTGGAACGTTCAAGGGTTCATATTCAGTCTTGGGTAAATCCTCTTCTGAAGGAATCACTGGTGGAGCAAGAATGTCCTCGGCTATTTCATGTGGTAAAATTTGCGGAGTTGCCTCTGTAGTCGATTCTATTATCTCGGTCACGGATGTTGATTCCTTAGTCACGATTTCTGTTATAGTCTCGCTGGGCGTCGATTTCTGCGTCACTGCAGCTTCAGTTACCGTCGCACTGGGCGTTGATTCCTGCGTCACTGCGCCCTCAGTTGCCGTCTCACTGTCCGTCGATTCCTGCGTCACTGCGTCCTCAGTTGCCGTCTCACTGTCCGTCGATTCTTGCGTCACTGCGTCCTCAGTTGCCGTCTCACTGTCCGTTGATTCCTGCGTCACTGCGTCCTCAGTTGCCGTCTCACTGTCCGTCGATTCTTGCGTCACTGCGTCCTCAGTTGCCGTCTCACTGTCCGTCGATTCCTGCGTCACTGCGCCCTCAGTTGCCGTCTCACTGTCCGTCGAATCCTGCGTCACTGCGCCCTCAGTTGCCGTCTCACTGTCCGTCGAATCCTCAGTGATGAGTGTTCCTTCTGTTACCATCTCTTCGGAAGTTAATTCCTCTGTGACTGTTCCCTCTGTTGCCGTCTCCCTTGGAGTTGATTCCTCATTGATTGCTGTTGTTGCCGTTTCTTCTGTAAATATTTCTATGGGAGTCGATTCCCCAGTAACTGTTGCTTCGGTCACTGACTCACTTGAAAATTCTTCTGTTGTGGTTGTCTCTGTTATTGCTTCTGTCGTTCCTGTTTCCATGGTCACTGTCCCTTCTGTAGTTATTCCCATGGCTATAGAGTCTGAAGTTAGAAAGTCATCACCTTCTGTTTCTTCATTCATTGATCCAGTCGTCGACTCTGAAACAGAGGAAGCAAACGTGTTCGTCGTCGTCTCAGTCTGAGATTTTGAAACATCAGTTGATGGCACAGTATATGTCATTTCTGTACTTACACCAACTGAGGCAGTAGTTTCTCCCTCAGTCACTGATGCTGGATATTCAGTTACAGTTTCTTCTGTCACTGCCAATGAAGAGGATGGTGTCTCATCAGTAAACGATGTAGTAGTGCCTGAGAAAGATAAATCTGTTGTCACAGTATCAGAAGAGCCAGTAAATGTCATAGGGTTTTCTGATATCTCGACAGTCACTGTCGAAGGAAAATCCGAAGTTCCAGCAGTCACTGTCAAGCCACTAGGCAATGTTGTAGGTTTACGAGTCTCTTCAGTCTGTACTTCGGATATATTCATGGTCTCGCTCTCTATCATAGTCTGAGTTGGGACTGAGGTCGTTGATGTAACAGGCTTTCCTCCCGCTGACGTCTCTGTCAACGGCCGATTGGTCACTAGAAACCACGGATCACCTGTCACATTTAAGAAACTACTCAGGACGGCCCCCGTGTCATTGAAGTTCATGTATTCTGATGAAGGGAGCTGCTCTTTAGGAGGGATCACTGGGTTTCCCGTGGGCTCTTCTGAAGCTGGTGCCTTGCTCGGCGTTACAATTATTGGATCAGATGTCACAGGTGGCAAAGTTGTAGTCTCTTGCTGTGGTATTCCAGATGTTGATTGTTTGTCATTTTCGGTTGTTGTTGTCCACACAGTAGTATCAGTCGTGCTGCCACTATTACCAGTGGCTTCAAGAACTCTGTCAAAGAAACCCTGAATTTCTGCAACTTTGTTCTCATCAATCGCTGTTAGAGAGGCAGCTGTAGTGTTGTCACCCGCCAATTGGAAGACCGCACTAATTTTGCCATCACTATCATCCAGAACCTGTAACCAAGATTTCATGATTAGTGATGTTCTGGGGACTTCAGCAATTGAGAAGGGATCTAAAAGTGTGTGTAGTTGGAAAATTTAGCAATGACAAAATGTGATAAAAATATTTTACGTTTACAATATGTTATGGGTGGGTGCTTCATGATCTTCAAATATTAATTCTAACACTCCCCATACTAATACTACACTTACTTCTACCCCTACACATTCTCTCCCAGCCCCAGCACAGTACCTTCGCAATGCCTTCGCTAACCATCTCGGCGGCCACGATCATCCGGGCGAGGCGTCCGTCCCTTATCGCCTGCAGGACATCCGTGTCACGGCAACGGAGCGCGGTGGAGACAAGCAGGCAGGCGATGGGCGAGAGCGTGACTTTTTCATTCTGTTGCATTTCTTTGACGAATTCCTGAGGGAGAAAGGAGGGTGTCTTGTGCTCGTCCAACTTGACGACAACTGTTGCGTTACACATCACCTCAGCCATTGCACGTCTTAACAAGAATTGTATTATTTTGACTTTAAGGGTGTCGTCGGTCTCCTGTGGCTGAGGGCTTGCGTCTGGCTTTTTAGTAGAACCGTCAGAGGACCCCACGTCTGTGGTTCCATCGGCCGTCCCGCCCCCGCCAAAGATCGCCTCGATTATCTTTCGTGCTTCTCGCATGTAGTTTACTTTCTCACTCATAATCCCCTTCACTTCCTGGAAAATGGGAAGTCTGTCTGATGGCTCCACCTTGGATAGGATAAGCGCCAGAATCCTTACGGTTGACATTGCCTCTCCTCCTTGGTGAATCTGTCTTTTCACAGGGTACCTCAGCATTCTTGGGTCTTTCCCCATTGAATGAGTGTCGTAAATGTCACCTGCGTTCAAAAACAACCTACGCACTTCCGTCTGCAGCCAGTGATCCATGTCATAAGCAGATGGGTCCTGTAGCTTCCGGTCTTCAATGTTCTCGGCATCGGAATCACAAAGACACCCGCTTGGCACCTTGAAACTCACAATGCGTAACATATCTTCATTAGCGGGGTCTTTGGCGTACACCTCCCAGCTGCTCCATTTCTGAAAATGTATTTATAGACAAGTAAAAAAATAAATAAAAATAAAACCGATAACACAGAAGATGGGCAAGTTCATTCTGCAGTATTATCAGAATAAAGATCCACTAAATTGAAATTTGCAGTTTCATAAACTACAATATTGTATATGAAATATTTGAGCCATAAAAATTACCTGTCCTAATATATGAATAAAGTCAAATACTACCAGCTGTCAATACGGTATGATATCTACCTGCGAACAACTGATACCCTTGTCTTGGCGATGAGGTGGTACTATACAAGGGATGAGACGGCAAGTCACGGTCTCCACGGGCTGCACCATGTCTGGGTCGCTTTGGGCCACTTCATAGGTTTCTCCTAATACCGTAAGTGTTGTGGGAAAGCGTTGTTCAGAATACGTTTAATAGAATGCAAAAAAAAAATTGTTTCCAAACTATAGAAACTTCTTCCTTAAATGGATAGTTATTAAACTTTATTTTACACTCTGAAGAATATTACCAATTTGTCTAGTATCATTGCTCATATCGAACTATGATTTTCGTAATGAACACACTATGTTCAAGCAATTTTTCCAAGCAATGACTGTCACTTTCAAAGCGAGTATATATAGTATATTACATTACAAAGATAGAAAATTACAAAAGTGAAAGTGGCAGCTGTAAATTAAGCCTGCAAGTTAATTTTAAACAGTGAGCAAAATTCGGGTTATGTAATTTGGCTGGCAATAGATAGATTTATATACTACAGACAAAGAAATAAAGTTTATTTGTATTTGCTTATGCAGATTTATATCGATATTTAAGATCATGCATAAATATCCACATTTTCAAATTCCGTTAGGCATTGCCCTCAACACCATTAACAAATGTTGATGCGAATACATATATTAATGCAATGAATAATGAAACCGTAAATACTTTCAACATAATTATCTCAAGAGCATATTTTGGTCCTGGACAACCCGAAGACACTCACCCCCTTCTGCCACCACAGTCTTAAGCAACATCCGTTCCTTCTCCTCCAAACAGCAACACGACTCATCACTGCAATTGTAAGAAAAATTAAACCAATGGCTCCTGAACAATGGGGTTCAGTATCATCAAGAAGCTTTTGATTACGATTCAATTGCGAGTGATATAGCTTGTTTCTCTTTCACCCTTTCAACCATGTGTTTTCAAACTCTGACAAAATATTAAGAATGTAGCTAGGGATATGTTGACGCCTAGAGAATATCTACTAACAGTTATTCATACAAAACAGTGTGCTGGTACTTCGCTCAGTTTTATTGGGTCAGTGTTAATACACAGCCATTCCCTACTTAGTTTGACGATTTTCTCAAGTTCGACAATTACTGCCAGCACTTTAGAGACTACCCAATCACCTGTCTTGAGGTGGCGAGACGACGTAGGCCTTCGTTCCGTTAAACTGCTCAGTACTCTCGACGCCCTTCATATGCCTCAGGGAATTTTTCGGAAGGTATTCCACACACTCTGAAACATCATTGATTATCATTTTCTCTTTTTCTTGATTCTATTTTCTAATTCAGTGATGAGATAAATATTTTCAACCTGAATCACCTCCATATCCGTCATTCCCGGGTGGACAACACAACTGCCTGCCCGTCTTCTTGTCTATGTCGATGCAATAAGGCGATGTTGCCTTCACAACCCCTGCTGCCAAACATGCCTGAAAAAATGTGCTTTAATGGAGCGTCTCTTAATGTAATTCTTGACATTTGAGAACTCGAAGACCCCGATTATTTTGAAGTAAAATGCAGATATAAATTTACACCTTCCATCTCCCTTAGCATCACAAGGCAAAAAGGTGCGCAAATCGATAATAGAGGAGATACAGGACAGAGAATATGATGAAAAAAATGCGAGTGTTCATTAATGCCCGCCATATTTGAAAATTAGGAAAGTGCAAGAAGCTCACATGATTAATGTCAAAATTTACTACACAGTCCAAATTGCCGTGACTGGGCGTGCCCTTCGAGGACTGTCAGGGGAGGGTTGATGAGGGGCTCTGCCCCCAACACTCCTCCGTAATATGCATGACAAGAAACACCTCTTTTACAACATAAATGACGGCGTACCATACTGCGGAGTACAGATTAGCAGCGGCAAGGAGGAAGCAATGTAGTCTTTAATTCGAATCTGGAATGCTCATCAAAAACATTACACGGGTAAGATAGCCAACAAGGTGATACTTAAATCTGCCTTCGCTTCCCGCCACTCACGCTCGATGGTATTGGTATGAGCCGCAATGACGGGATCCACAAAGTTAAGGGAATGGTTCACAGTCAGGTGCTGAAACTCTTTATTAAGGCAGTTATATGCCTTCAAGCAGTAACTGATGATGGTGGACCCTTCTTTAATAGTCTTTTATAACTGCTAGAAGGTTAATGGTTAATGGTTAAAAGCAAGATAAATGTGCTAGACATCTAAGGTCATGTAGCACTATAGTTAATGTTAGTGAAGGGTGGTTGAGTTAGTTATTAGTTGTCTAAGCTGGGCAAAGGAATTAGTGAGTGAAAGGGTTAAGGTCGGGTGTTATATTAGATAAAGGGTATGCATAAGAAAGGTTTCTTGAAGGCATACAATAGATGGGTTATAAGAGGAAAGGATATGATGGTCAGGTCTGTGGGAGCGGAAACCGCGAATATTCCAATGAAGGATAGTTATACTTTCGTTGATTTAGTGATATAGATTGTAGTACGTGTTGGAGAATTTGAAGGGGAAGCAGCTAGAGGGTGGGATAAGGACTGAGAGGTTTGAGATGGGAGAGGTGTGGGAGTTGGTGTTCTATCAGGAGGGGTATTAGGAGATGGAGGGTCTGAGGAAGGGGATACTTGTGACATAAGGGATTCACGTGTGTATCCAGGAGGGAGTGGAAGGGATAGAGGGGATGGTGGGAGAGTTAATGTGGGCGGGGTTGGGGTCAGGGGGGATGGGCTGTGTTGGGAGGGGGTGGGACGGTAGGGTGTAGGGGGGATATCGTTAGGAGGAGGATGGATATCAGCAATTACTTGGAGTGTGGAAGGAGCAGTTGTTGTAAGTTGAGTGTCAGTTTTCATTAAGTATTCTTGAATATTTTCAATAGTTTCTTCTGTGGAGTTGGTTGGGGAGTTTTGGGGGATAAAGGATTTCTTGTGAGGGGGGGAAGAGAGGACTGGTGTCTCAAGAGTACGGGCAAAGGATGGTGGGGGTGATTGTGTGGTAGGGGAAGAGGGGGTGGAACGTTTGTTCTGTCTGTTACGGGGAGTGCGAGGAGGGAGAGGGGAAGGTGTTGGGGTTGTAGTGGTGATTGTATATTGCGCCCTCCCTTTTCTATGCTCCTTAGCAAAGACCTTATTACTACTCTTTGCTCTGGGAACCACTCAGACTTTATCCAGAGGGACACTATCTGTTAATACAAGTGTGTGGTTTCTCCAAAAGTACTCTTTAGAACCCACACTAAAATATGTATATTCATACAGGTTACTTATGATCTAATTTCAGCCTTAGAGGTAACTGAGAGAAGGGGATAATATCAAACCACTTAATAAGTTTACACTTGTTGTTGATATATTGAGTTAAATATCATTACACATCTACAGTAAAATAAACTTTCATCTACAAAAATAAATGTCCCACTTGGTTGTATTCCAACCTGTCACTTTTATTCTTCTGGTTCTTCTCAGGTGTCTTCTTTCCTTGTCTTCATCAATGTCCTGGGCTCTTTCATTCTGGTTCACAGCCCCAGGGACGCATAAATCACAACTTCAGAAGAACCAAACAAACCATAAAAAAATAAAACAAAACAAAACAAAGAAACAAAAAAAAAACCCACTCCTAGAAAAGAAACAAAATTCTAGTTTAGGAATGATAAACAATATAAAGTTATTAAATGTAAGTAAATCAGTTCTTGTAAGATGAAAAACAATATTTCTTACAAACAAACAAATTATATATAATATTTATGTTATCATATACGATCTGAGTAATATATTATCGTAATATTTGATTAAATATCATTATAATATTATACAATTATGAATGCCAAGAACACTTACTCTTTGAATGGGTTTTAAATTCTTATAAACAAGAGAGACACATCGGATGTTATTCAAGAGCCATGTGCCATGTGCCAGCCTCGAGCTGTGAAGAAGATATACTCTTTATCTCTAATTTACAGTTTAATCTCAAATAGTTACTTTCTTTTCTTCTGTAAATCAATTGTACAGTAGTTCATGACTTTATTAATTATATTATTATAGTGGAATGTTCTTTCTTACCTCAGATATTTCACGATAATCAAATACTCTTTCAGGCTGCTGTATGGCACTCCTCTCTGATCTCGATCTCTCTCTCTATGATTATAGCTATGTTTTCAGGATTTAGCACTGTATATACTTTGAATTTTAAAGTCTACTCAGATCACATATATTACACTTATACAGTCCTTCTTAATCTATACATGCATAATTTTCAGAACTTAAATGAATCCTTCCATTAACAAAAATAATATATATGGTTTTCTTTACAAAAATATCAATTATACAACCTTAATATAATAATACTATTGAAATATAATAGCGTACCCTTTAAATAAAGAGAATGTATGGTGGGGGGGTAACAAAAAAGCTTATACTTTGTAGGGTAGACTATCATATTTTACAATTTTCTTATCTTAGAAAAAATATAATATTGGAATATATATAATTTCATGTAAAACTATTAAAATAAAATATCATCTTTCTAGGAAAATAATAAAGTACCTTTTTCTCAAATAATTAAAGCTAAAAAACTGAGGTATACTTAAATAATATATATGCATAAAGACTAAGTGAGGTGTATACAGGGGGGTTTCTAGACGAATTTTGGGTCATTCTAAATTCACATCCCTTGTGCTCGTTACAATTGGAGTATCTGTAGTAGAGATTGGAGTTTCTGGATTTAGGATGGCAAAAGAATTTGACTGGGGAAGGTAGGTGGGGTTAGTGGGGGGGTTAGATGTAGGAGGGGTGGGTTTAGGAGAAGTGTTAGAATGAGCAGTATTACTGGAGTAAGGAGTAAGAGAGAATCCACGTCGACGTGCTTCCTGTCTGGCTTCACGCAGTGTGAGTCCGAGTTTGAATCTGAGAGTTGCTACCTCAGATTCAAATTTGTAGGTGGGACAGCCCCTATAAAATACATTATAGGGGCCGCCACAGTTGGCACATGTGCGTGATTGTGCAGAGCAGTTAGATCGGGTATGGCCAGGTTGGGCACATAACGGGCATCTGGCTGTGGAACGGCAGTGTTTGGCTGGGTGTCCTAGACGCCAACAATTTTGGCACTGACGTGGAGGAGGTTGGTATGGACGAACAGGGAGGGATTCTCCTCCTATGTAGACGTTAAAGGGAAGGTCATGTCTACGGAAGGTAATTTTGGCTATGTTAGTGGGTTTCTTTCGATGACCTCTGGGGGGGATGGAATAGCATTGTACTGATGTTGCATCGTAGTCTGTGAGACAGGCAAGTAGATCTTCTCCACAATCTGACCAATCTTTGTCATAGATTGGGCAATTTGTTGGTGAGATTGAGACTGTTCCGGTGCAAGTATTGAGGGTTGGATGGGGTTCTGCTAGGATGGGGTTACCATATAGGTCAGTTAGTTTTGTTAATGCTATGGCTTGGTTTTCGGATGTTACTGTTACAAGACGGGAGCGGTCGGGTCGGCTACGGAAAGAGACTTTACCTACTTGTTTTTGGAGGCATTGTTGGAAGAGAAGGGTGTTGTCAGAGTAGGGAGCTGTGGGAGGGATCACGAAAAATCGGTCTCATTTAGCTGCACTAAAGAGAGTATTCAAGATTGTTTTAGAGATAGGGGTGGTAGAAGGGCGAGGGCATGACGAAGATGGAGTAGTGTTGATGGAGGTAGTGTTATGGAGAGGTGGGCTATAAGGCTGTAAGGTATTAATAAGGGAGGATGGGGTGGTTGATGTTGGAGGTTGTGGGGGTAGAGGTGTTGAAGTTGGGCATGCTGGGAGAGTGGAAATGTTCCTTGAGGGCTGATTGTTGGCTACTGTATTAGTAGGCATTGGTGAAGGGGCAGTTATTGCAGTGTTCGGAGCCGTGGTCAAAGGAGAGCCTGGGGTCGGGGAATCGGGTGGGTTTACTTCGTTGGGGCTATTTGATAAAGGGGCAAGCCTCATTGCCCCTAACAGTGGGGATATATTTTCATTACTGGCCATGATAAGCCTGGTTATGTTGGGGATAAAAACAGTCCACCCCTCAGGGTCCCCTTGAGGGGTAAGGGCTAGATACTAAATCAGTGGAATACCGTGCCCATGGCTCCCTCAGGCCGTTCAGGACTGGCACAAAGTCAGCCTTTCATCCTTTCAACACGGCTCTCACACCTTAGGTGGTGGATAGCAGAAGGGTTTGGTGAAGGGACAGAAACAAAAGTGGGAAGGGAAAAAAAGACCATGCATAATTAGTTGAGTCGAGGGCTGAGTCCCAAGGTTGGGGAGTTCCCCATCATTGGGTCCCAGTCTCCGCCTCCTAAGCCCCCCCACGACAACAACGGGCAAGGGATTGGGGGGGAACTGCTAGAAGGGTCTCAGCACCTCTGGAGGACACCGGAATAAAAAAATTAAAAATCCGACTTTCACGGCACAACCCACCGAAAACCCAATGGTACTAAATCAATTTGCCTACGTTGTATTCTCGTTTGCCGAATTTAGACTCGTCTATTTCTACTATAGTGCCAAGGCCGCTAATCTTTTCAGTGCTATTTCTTAGGCACCAAGAAATACTCACTTCACGGCAAAAACCTCTTACCAGAAAGAGAAATAATTCCTCAAATAAAAATTAACAAAAATTATATTTCTACTGTAGTGAATCTTCAACTGAAGGACAGAGGAACCTGGGAAGAATTCATGAATTATCCCTCTTACCAAACACGAGGCCGTCAGTGCCGGTAGATGACCGTTCAAGGAAACTGGGGAGGGAGCAAGATGCTATGGCAAATCGGCTTTGACGTTTTCTGTATTACAATTATTATATTAAGTTTTATTCTCGTTTTTTTTTTAATATCACATAGGAGAGCACATTCTACCTTATGAGACTATACTTTTTATATTTTAACATTCGTCAATCCCTTTTTATTTTTTATTTTTTTTTTTCAAACTAGGCTTTGTTTTAAAAAGAAATCTTAATTATCTGAAAGGGGGAAGACACGCCCTCTCTTGACAGAAATGCCGCCTTCACCTCGTCTGAGCCGTGGTTCCCCTCATCTTATAAAGATGCTTGCTGGGAGGGTTTATATATAGGTCCCAAGCGTCCAGGCCAGGTCAAGGGGGGAGAGCATCTTTCAGCCGTGAGGCCCGGGATTGTAATAGGTTCCTTGTCTGTGGGCGCAAGGGTACGAGCTAATAGGCGGTAAGATGGCATCTTCACTTTTCTTAGATTCTTAAGGTGGTGATGTGCTCTGTTGATTACTAGTGAAAGTAATTTTAAAAGACGTGCCTAGAGTTTTGCATCTTACTGTGAAGAGTGAAGATATAAAGAATAAGCACTTACTTTCTCTAACTCCGCTCACACCCTTCTACATGCCTTTTACTTTACGAACGTATTAACTCACGTTCCTTAACGAATGAACCAGGTGGTGGCAGCTTAAGATTTCGTAATCATAATTATTATAGATCACTACACTATCATTGTCTATATTTGATTTTGCATTTTTTCTATTTTTTTTAATACACCTCACAGTTCTATTGTGATTTTTTTTCTAGATTTGTCGTATCTAAATTTTTTGTTCTGAATGTCTAGTCTGCAAATCCCACTGGACTTTTTTTTAGTTAATAAAATTCCATAACTGTAAAAAAAAATAATAAGGTCTTCTGTTTTTTTTCCACTAAATTTAGAATGAAAGTCTAACAAACCACCATGGTACAGATGACAAACATCGGTCATTGTTAATTAATTGCGATTTGCGAAGTTCTAGCTTCACCCGGGCCTTCGGCTATGGCCCGGCGGTCATTGTTACTGAAAAGAATGAGGCAAGGTCACCTTAAGCACTGACTATTGTTTGAGCAATTATCATCATAATAGGTTTGAGAAAATAAGCATGGAAACTCTTTATTATGTAAAAACGGCTAAAATGTGAATATATATGAACAGTAAATAGATAGCCATGTATAAATGCATGATAAAGTATGTGACATTATAATAAAACTTTAATGAGCAATTAAAACTTTTACTAAACTGCTGGGTGGAAAAACGTGGATACGCACAAGGTTTTTCTACAGAATAGCGCAAATAATTACCAAACATGTTAAAGAAGCATAATAAAAGTAAAAGAATTAATTAAATACATGAATTCTGAAAAGCAGATACTGGTAATAACAAAATGTTCGTTCTCACAAGCGCGTACCAATATATGGACTACTTGATAGATCGCAGGAATGAGTTACGCCTTACATTTGTTTTGGTCCTCGCGAGATAAACACGATGGGAACTGGAAAAATGATGGGTCAATCTTCTCTTTTTCCTGTCCTGTAACTCCCTTATTTTTATTTGCGCACATTTTCCCCATAGCTAAAAAGTGTCAGTGTCAAGATAAACAATCCATACACTATTTTCTGTAATCCTGAATGTTATGCTCGCTAAAATTTTCCTACCTTTTATTTATTCCCTAGACGGAGGGGGACAAGCCCCCTGCCATACCCGCCCCCCCCCCCTTATTGGCACTTCGCGCAAAGAGACATCAACTTCGCTATAACAAATATTAGCGACGTACCGTCAGTGTGGAGCTGCGGCGAGGAGGAACTAATGAAATCTTTTGTTTTGGCCTGAGAAGGCCATCATAAAAATAGCCCTCGCCAAATAGCCAACGAAGTGGGATTTCCTCCTGCCGAACTTTGGCTTTGGCTTTGGCCTTCCTCTATTTACGCTCGATTGTATTGATGTACGTTTTAGTGTCAGGGTCAACAAAATTATATGAATGATTCACAGTCAAATGTTGATAGCCCTCTTCTTCTAAACAGTTGTATGCCTTCCACCAATCACTAATGACCGTTGTCCCTGGGTGGATATGCTTCTTAATTACTTAAGCAAAGTAGGTGTCTCACGCGTCTGCACAGGTACGAATAAAATTTCCTACTTTTGCGGCATACTCCTCCATAAAGCCACTGACCTTCAATGAGTCCACCAACGTTATATTCCCTTTTACCTAATTACGTTTCATCAATTTCTACAATTTCCCCTGACCCTCCTATCTGGCCTGACTCATTATTTAAACACCATATTAAAACCTCCCGCCACAAGCTTGCCCAATCACAAATAGCCTTGTTTGGAAACAAAGTCGCTCCGTGCAGATTCGTAAAAAAAGATCTTATATACTAATTAACAAATTTTAAGTTAGTTTCAAAATCGAGCTTACTGTTATCAAACCAGGGGTTCTTAAAAAGTGTTTTTTTTAAATTGCATCCAACTTTTCTATCATTAATTTTCCTTGATCTGTCGCACCGAAAAGAATTTATTTTATTGTCCAAGCGACAATCCTGGTCGCAGTTGGGACATTTCATTTGTTTTAAAATTAAATTGTGCGCCCGGTATGGATTGAGCAAGAGGTCGGCCTGGCCACCGTAATTCTGCCAAAATTGGCCGTACCTAGCATATAAAAGAAATATCAGTAACATTTTCATGATGTATGATGATAAATACGACATAATACAAATCATAATTACTTTAACCAAAAAACGTGAAGCCATCGCCCCCCGTGAAGAGTACATGCTACTCTACTTTGCTATACGACAACCATCGCAGGTGGACCTCATGGTAAATGGCACCATCGCAGGTGGACCTCATGGTAAATGGCACCATCGCAAGAATCTCTCTTCAGAACAAGGACGATTATCGGCC